AAATTTAAAAAAAGTAGTTTAAAATTAATTATTTTATATATAAATTGTTTACTGTATTAACTAAGGATGTTATGGAATGCTATAAAGCAACACAAAATTCTGGTTATTCAATATTAAAAAAAAACATGGATGTAAGTTTTATAAAAGCTAATGGGACATGCGAAAATGTGTGTTTCACATGTTTCAAAATTTAAAAAAAAATATTCTGAAATAACTAAACAAATATTTTCTGAAAGAGTTTACTAAGGGCTTGTTAGACTTTCACTTGGTTGTTAAATTAATAAGATCCGATAATTTTTAACAAAGTTATTGGAATTCAAACTTACGGACAGCGGAAGGCGGGTGGTTTTTGAAAACGACCCTTTTATAAAAAAAAAGTTAATGCATTATTTCCTAAAAACGGTGGTTTTTGACCATTGTGCGTCATTCCCGCTAAATTACCCCCTCCCTACATGCGCACCATCCTATCTTAAGGTAGGTATGTTTCTTGTGATCTTGCATTAGAGCACAGTTTATTTGTGTTCTGAAGCTTGAACGGTGCAGTGCTTACATGTATAAATATATATCAAAATTAATAGTGTATCAATAATAAATAGTGTATGTAACAGTGGTATCCGAAGACCCAATCGAGTTTATAACGGTAAATATTCTTTTTTAATATTTGTTTAATCATTTTGTTGTAATATTTCATTGTTTTAACACACATAAACACTCAGTATTTTCAAAAATGTATGTTTTATTTTATAATGGTAACAATATATTTTTATTTTTAGGAAGGTTTAAACTAGATAATTAATAGAGGCATGCGGGACTTTGACGAAGAAGATAGAGTTGGAGTTTCCGGATCGTCCCTTGGTGTAAGAAAAAGGAGTCAGCCGTGATTTTGGATACTCTGGGCAATGTTCTACAGAGTAACGCTAGCTTTTTCACCAATAACCGACTAACGCTATTAATAGACAGGATTCAATTACCTGGAGGAAAGGACTGCTATTTTATAAGACGAACGAGAAATTATGCAAAAAGACGAGAGGTATCATTGTAGTTGTTAATATTACCTACTCATAATCATTGTTTGCTTTAACGTAAGGTTAAGCCTTTTGAAAGTACGCGGTAAAGAGTTATGTAGGGCTTTTAACGTGAATCTCTCAAATGCAGGAAATCTTAAACATCTTAAACGGTTTCATGATAATTAAGAAGATTTTATACATTATTTTTTCAGAAGAGCAAAGTTTAATGTTTAATGCAAAACATGTTTTTCAAAATGTCATTAGGTGGAACCCCACCATTAGAAATGGGTGTAAGTCTTTATAACATGCAATAAAATTAAATTTATTGATAGCTTAAATTATAGGCCTTTACCTGAACCTAAAGGTATATTTTTCACATTTATTTAATAGACGGGAAAATAGTAATTATGTAGGTTCTTTACCTGATCCCTCCTTTTATATGCCCGATAAATTTAAAATTTTATTAAAAACAAAACGATGACATTTTTACCAAAAAGTTAAGGTTAACACAGAGCAAGATATGTCAGATTTAAAGATGTAAATAAATGAAGATTTGACTACTAAAGCTCTGAAAGCTTTCTGGGGACACCGTTAGAGTGTGGAGGATGAAAATAATAAGTTTTTAGAAATTGTAACTTTTTATGACTGAGAAAAAGTGTGTTACCAATTTTACTAACATATGTGCTACCTGTTTTGATGATAATTGTATATACTTACAGTTAAAAAATTTAAGATGCCTATTATATTCAACTAATCAAACTATCCTTGACACAGATGAACTTGCAAAAGATTTTCTGCAGCCATCTAAATGGTGTAATTTTTGTAGGAAGTGTGTCCTATTTGATGAGATACGTATGACTCTTTATTCTGACGTATATATTGAAGTTCGTAAATAAGTTTAATTATTTTGTATTTAATAGTAAAGGATATAAGCTTAAAGCATTTTTAAATAGATTTTATAATTGAATAATAAAAAATATGAAAGTATACCTAATTGTTTAATTATATCCCTATCCTTTAAATACCTACCCTACATATTAAATATAACTTTTATTTTATTTTTCTAGTACACCCTGTATATAGATAATAGAAAAATGAATAAAATACCTTTAATTACATAACGATATAAATTAACTAGCGTATTACAAAAGAAATAAAAAATTAATATTAATTATGCATAATTAATTACTTTTTTCGGCGGCCATGTTTATTCCGCGCGTGAGCATATCGATGGTTATTTGACAAAACATCAGGTGTAATTTTTTTTGTGTGCGAGCTTAATTTTTATTAAAAACTGGTGAGGCATTATTTTATTTATGTAGAATTCAAATATTTAAATAAGATCGAATCAAATCTAAAATTTTCATTAAATTTTGTGGCATACGATATTTTATAAGAACATCTTTAGGAAAATGTAAAATTAGTCTTGTCGCTTAAGTTACATTTACGTACCTTTGTGGGATTTGATGATTACTTTTGTCAAAACATCGTTAGCGACATTTAATTTTTGACTTTTATTATTAAATAAAAAAATTTTACAAAGAAATTTATTAATAAAATATTACCAACGATATTTTGCCAAACAATGTTTGAAAATGAAATTCTACATTAGCTTTCTTTGAAAAAAAAACCGAAGGATTTTTATTCACAAACTAGTATTTAACCCATGGAGCCTACACAAGGAGCCCGAATTTAATAGGGAAAATTGACAAAACCTGCCCTCTGAATTGTACAAATTAAGTTTCTTTTTTTCACCACCAGCGGCGCTGATTGTCTATGCTAGCGTTTTGGTTCCATGATCTAACCCATGGTACCATGATCTAACCGTTATAAATTTGAGTCAAATTATTTGAAGTTAAAACAACATACACTTACTACAAAAACACTTTTAACGAACCACACTACGTAAAAACAATTATAATTAGGATAACTATTAATAATGCAATGAAAAAAGGAATTATAAGCTTTTGATCAAATAAAATATGGTAGCAATCACTACGATGCAGGTATACTCACGTATACTGACAAATAAAGTGTTTAAAGCGGGAACAACGCCTTGATAGATCAAGGCGGGAGCACAATATTATCGTAAGCGACACAATCTCAAATCGCAAACACCATGTCTCGGAGTTGCTTACGATTATTTGTCGGGAACATATAGGCGCTTACGTTATAAATCGGTAAAAAATTAAAAAGAAGAGGCGCTTACAAAAATAAAAATATTAAAACTGACCAATATTAGATACCAAAATCGGGATGACTATTATGTTAACATGTGCAGCTTATCGTAACTGACACTTTGATAAAATAAAAAGTAATTCAACAAAATTGTCGCTTATGATGTTTTGTCAAATAACCATCGATATGTGACGTCAGCATAGGACCGAAATGAGCCTACTGCGCCTACTTATCGAATTCGGACCTATCCATACGCTAAAGAAGTATAAGGTTTTCGCAACGCGCGCGCCATCTGGTGCAATTCCATGGACTTGTTGGTTTATCAATAATACATTTAAAGCATACGAACTGCACATCATTTTAAAGTAAATACGTAGTTTTTTACAAAAGAGGTCTTACTCGACAAATTTTGTTCGCAAAGTTTTAATTGCAAAGCTTAACCGCGCACGTTTAACTGCGCACGTTATTTGAGGACCCTAGCTAGAAGCCAAGGGATAAAAGTGACATTTAAAAAAAATGTCGCTGTAGGTGCTGTTCTGAGAGGTGATTTTTGGACTTTCTGTGAAACCTAATTTTTTTTTATATTCTTGTTAATTAGGTCATAACTAAAATTTTAAGAGCAAAATAAAAAAAAATTGACGGTTTGAATTGTTTTAATTGGCTGTTTATTAAAAATATTATGCACTCTTTCAATTATCCAATTAAAACTAGCGATTTAATTTAAATATTTAATATTTGCATAACTAAAAAAATGGTTTTTACAATTTTTTTAATAAATTTTACTGTTTTGTTGCAATAAACGTTCAAACTTTTAATCTAACCTTTGACGTTTCCCTTAATTAATATATCCTTAAAAGTTGCCATGAATCTATTAAAAATTTAGTTGATGTTTGAATTGTCATTTTCAGTATACGTATTCTATAATTTTTGTTTAGTTTTTTTAAGTGTTTTTTATAAACAAAAATGAAAAATTGTACTAAAAGTTACGAAGAAATTCATGAAATTTAACTAAGGACCGGTTTATTCATCTTTAGTAAAGTTTATCGGGCCGATAACTTTCATATCTTGGCAATATCTAGTATCCAAAGAAATTATTCGTCAAATAAATCAAAAATGAATAAATCGGCCCTAAATAAAATGTGGCACCCTTAGAATTATTGTTTAATAAATGTATACTATACATTTAACCTTAAATTAAAACTTTAAACGTGTATTACAACAAAACAGTAAAAGATATAAAAAATGTATAGACCTTTTTTTAGGAAATTAACTAATCTTTAATATGATTTAAAAAGTTATGATAATATTTAAATAAAATCGCAAGTTTTAATTGGAGAATTGAAAGTGTGCATAGGTACATATTTTTAATAAACATCCAATTAAAACAAAATTAACCGTCAAATTTTTTTTATTTTGCTCTTAAAATTTTAGTTATGACCTAAATAACAAGAATATAAAAAAAATTAGGTTTCACAGAAAGTCCAAAAATCACCTCTCAGAACAGCACCGTGTATAATACGTATCGTCCCACGTTTTCTTTTCGATATTTTAAACATTTTACGACTTTATTCTCAAAAACACTACTTTGTAGCATACGCGTTTGAAAGCTGCTTATTAAAAGCTGAATTCTGGTTACGATGATAACGGCCACATGGTGGCGCTACTAGTGATACTTCTTTAGCGTATAAGTTTATTAAGAAAAATAATATTATTTTAACGTTTTTTATTGATTCTCAAAGTATTAAAAGTTTCTTTGGGACCAGGGTGTATATTGTGCAGTCAGTTAATTAAAATGTCATTAAAAGGCGTAAAATGTATAAATAATTATTTATTTGTAATAAAATTACATTTCCAATAGGTACCTAATTACCCAAAATATAAAAATTATTTGTAATTCCATAAATATAAAAGTGATCCAAAATATTAGCAGCCTTTTTATGTTACCAAACTAAACTTGTGACCAAAATTTAAACCAAATAATTTTAGATGACTGCTAATTATTTGAACAAAATAACAAATTTTTAAATTTTATTTTAACTTATACATCTATCTTAACTTCTATAACCAACTTTCTTCTACGTCTCTGTTCAGGGAACATCATGTTTAATATATGGTTATTAAACCTAGAACGTCTTGAAGTCTCGAAAGTCTCCTCGTAAATTTCTTCTGTCGAACTTCTTTTGGTTCTTTTTGGAAGTTCATTTGGTTTGGTGTGATTTAAATTTTGAGTAAAATTTAAATCATTTAACTTTCTTGCGATCCTGGAATAAAATGATAATATAATATAATAGTTTTGATCAATACCAAAATAAAAAAATAAAAAGCTTTATAAATACCACTTGTTTACAAATTAATTAAAAAGAAATGTACCTTTGGTGCCACTATTTTTTTCTAATGTATTTTGGCCTGCTAAACTCGAAAATTACAATTAAACTATTTGTATTGCAAGGTTTTATTATAAAGATTTAATTAATTTTCATGTATCCGTTTGTCCGTTATACGTTTGTACGTTTTTCAATAAAATGGTCCGATAAGAAATGTTCTAATTTTCATGCATCCGTATTTTAATGACGTTTAACGGATTGATTTGGCGACAAATAAAAATTAAGGGTCAGTATATTCACTTTACTAAATTTACCTAATGCTTAATTGTCATAGTTTCAATTAGGTGAACAATTGTTAGCTGTCTAATAAATTTAAAGATAGGTAAATATAAAAAATTTAAAGATAGGTAAATATACCATATAAAAAGGATATATTAGCCTTAATTTACATTAAAATGTATAGTTTTAAAAAAGCAGGTCCTTTTAGTTCTGGTTTATTATTTCTTTTTTTCTGTTATTATTATTAAATAAAAACATAAAAGTAGAACATTATTCGAACGTTATATTTCCGTTTTACAATCTTATTAAAAGAATATTAAAAGATTTGAAAGTAAAGTATCTTAAAATAACGTTATGCGTCAAAAACAGATGTGTAGTGACAGATTAGTTAAAATTATTTTAAATTTCTCCGTCAGACGTACGAAGTTAAAACTTGACGGACGGAAAAAATGTCATAATTTTTTAATAATTATAATTATTATTATTATTATAATTAATATAATTGGACCAATAAGAGCGCTCCCGGATGAACGGACTAACGGACAAACGGATACATGAAAATTAAGCTTAATGCGTATATACGTTATATGTAGATAGATAACTATGTTTTTTTCATTAGTTTTTCAAAGGTAGCTTTACAAATTTACAAAATATATTTTTCCACCATTCGTTTATTTAAAAATCTCTGATAGCCCGGCTTCATGAACTTCATTTCTTGGTAAAATCAACGGTCACAAAAAAAGTTTGAATGCAATGAATGGATTTTCAGGAATAGATTTACGTTAAAGTACTCGCTATTTCAAGCGGACGGGCGGGACAAATCACAAACCTTTTTTTATAAAAAAATTGTAGGGAATTTATTATATATTATTTTTGCATAAAAATTGTCAAATATATTCTTTTTTTATTAGGCTATACATTAAATAAAAAAAATCCCAAGAAATATTTTATAAAAGTAAAGATAATTTTAATATTTGACAGGTGTGGACGGGACAAGATAAATCTTTTTTTGTCCCGTCCACACCTTTTAATTATTAAAATTATCTCTACTTTTATAAAATATTTCTTGCGTTTTTTTAATTTAATGTAAAACCTAATAAAAGAAGAATATTTTTGACAATTTTGATGCAAAAAAAAATAATAATAATAAATTCCCTACAATTTTTTTTATAAAAACAGTTTCGTAATTCATTTCGAGCGCTTGAAATGGCCGAGTAGTGAAAGATATGTAACCAAAAATGTAATGTAAAAAATAGAACAAATACCAATTTTTGCAATTTTTAGCCAATCTTTGACGATTATTTAATCCAAAAATAAGTTGAACAGAAGATGGGAACATCTTAAATGTTCACCAAATGTGTTACCTGACACAATACAATAAATTAAAACAGTTTTATCAACCTAAGAAGAAAATTTGAACAAAACAAAAATTCAAAATATCAACGAAAACAAAACTTTTTCCTCGAATTTGGTGTAAATTTATTTCTTAAAACTAAACTACTATTTCTTAAAACTACAGTATATATAGTTGAATTTTGATACTTGTATGCAAAAAACATGAACAAAAAATTGCCTTTTCCAAAATTTTAAAAGCGAATATCGAGATAGAGGAAAAATTAATGAAATTAATCTTGAAAATTAAATTAGAATTAATCTTGAAAATCAATCAATCAATGTTATATTGAATTGTCAGATTTAATTTAATATCGCTAAAAACCAAAAAAACCTCTACAATGTAAAATTTGATATCGAAGTAAGGTTTTCACCAATCGACGTTTTACAAAAATCGACCTATAGGTCAGTTTTTTTACCTGGTCTGAAAATAGAGAAAACTATGACACGCCGTCTTAGCATTTATTAGATAAAAGTTTGAAGTTTAGCACTTAAATTATTATTATTAAAGAGAAATTTATAAAGTTAAATTTGTTTAAACTCAAAACAATTGATGGTCAAAAAATATTTTAAATAAGTTAAAAAATATTGATTTTTAAAAGTTTTAGTTGTAATATTTTATTCTACAAAATTATGGTTTTAAATTTTTAAAGAGTCATTTAAATGATAGTTGACAAATTTTTAATACAAAAATGCTCACATTACATTTAATAAGTTTTAAATTTTAAAGTAGTAATTTTTGGATTAAAAATTTATCGACCATAATTTAAATAACTCTTTACAAATTTAAACCAATTTTTTTATTTTTAACACTTTTAAAGTGATACATTTTTTAGACAAAACTTATAACTTTAGATTTTAATTTAGGTCGATAATTTTTAAATTACAAAGTGTAAATGTAGCTTTAGTAGAAGGCACAAGAGTCTGGGATTGGAGCCACGATGCAGCCAGTTTGATACGCAGTGTCGCCAAATCCATAAATATTTGACGCGTTTTAGAAATTATCGTATTGAAATGTTTCTTTATTAAATAAATTTAATAATAGAACAACAACATTTTAAGTGCCTATTGTCTAAGTTCATTTGACAATTTTGATAATTTTTAAGAGAATTTTTTTTAAATGTAGTGCCACAATATTACGTGGATGCCTGATACAAATTCCCGCTTTCCGGCATTTGTGGTGAGGCTAAGTGTTAAGTCTGATTTATAGATTGCCTTCCTTCCTTTAATACAAAAGTGAACTGTTAGTAAATTTTGTCTTTCAATACATGATAGTTGAAAATATTTTAAATTTATAATTGTTTAGTTACGAAAATTTTAAACCAATAAAATTTTAAATTAAAAAATTATTTAATAAATGTTAAAACGGCGTGCCATAGAAAACTGACAAAAATTCATATTTTTACAAAACATTAGCTCTACGAACAATTTGGTTAGAATTTGTGTTTTTTTGCAATATTTTAATTATCCTTTAAAAATAATTTTTTTAATAATATTTTTATTTATTTTTAGACAGTCAAATAATTAAAATAGCTTTTTAACTTTTAACTAGAATGGGTGTGGTGTGGCACACATAATTTTTTTTGGTCGTAAGGGTTTTTCTAGATTGTCTTATTCTACATCACTAATGCTTACATTTTGTCGCAATTGTCACAACAATTGGGTTGATTGGCCGGAACTTCATCGTCATTGAAGTGACGAAGAATATAATTTCTTCGACATTCTCTCGTTATTAAATATTTCTCTTGACAAAGCAACTGCTTTTCTTTTTTGCCTTCGTTGCCTCCACTTACTTTTACCAAATATCTAAAACATACATTTTTAAGAAAATAATATTGGCATCTGTAGTCGAAAAGTTGTACTATTGCGTAATCGACTGATTTTACCGTTTTCTCGATTTTGGTAAATTTATTACTTACTTAATTATGCCTTACCATATCTTAAGTAAATTTGAAAAAGGCATACCTAAGGTATGTCTTATAATATATATCGTCTAAATTGTAAAAGGATCGTCTCAACAACGCAGATAAAATTAATTGGAGCAAAAATTAAACATTTAAGAATGACAACTCCAGTAATATTTGAGGAAAACCCATTTTATAACTTCCTTCAAAGCAAAGTGGAAACCAACTTACCTTTATCCGTTAGGACGGCAAGAAAGCGGTTGCAAGAACAAGGTCTGTTTAACTGCGTTAGTACCAAAACATCTCAACTGACGGATGTTAATAAAAAGGCAAAAGTAGAGTTTGTATATTTAAATGAAAATACTCAATATTGGGAGTAAGTGGTCTTTTCTATTGGAAACATATTTTAGTCCTGCTATAATGGACAACTCTGCCGTGCTTAATGAAAACGCCGTAACCAACAATTTTGAGATTTTTGTTTTACGGCATTTTCTACTAGAACAATTCATCCTGCGTCTATCCCCTGTACTCAAAAAACCGTATCTATATTTCATATATATTTTTTGAGTACCGGGGATAGACGCAGGATGAATTTTTCTAGTAGAAAATGCCGTAAAACAAAAATCTCAAAATTGTTGGTTACGGCGTTTTCATTAAGCACGGCAGAACTCTGGGCGTGGATATCTTTAGCAGTGTTGTAACGTATCTAGTTACAAGTAACTAGTTACATTGTTTAGACACTTTTATGTATCTACGTGTGTTACTAGTTATTTATCCCAATCTAGTAACTATAACTGTAACTATAGTTACACATTTTGAGTAATTAGAGATAAGATACAAAGATACATTTTTTAATTGACAGGGACTATTATTTATTGAAACACGGAAAACACGTGTACTTCCACCTCTCTCTGCAACACAATTTTTAATTTCTGAACGCACCCAATAGTGTAAATATATTTTTTAGCAAATATACTGCCATTAAGTGAAAAAACTACAAAAACTACTCTATTTTTGTTGTCTCGCCCTTTTATTTCTATTATACAATTTTGGATGGAAACCCTATGGGGAAGCAAAAAATAATTTGTATCTAAAGGTATCTAGATTCTTGTTTAAGGTAACTGTATCTGTATATAGTTACTGCAGTAAAATATGTATCTGTATCTAGTTAAACATTTTGGTAAGTAACTGTTACTGTAACTATATACTGAAAATGATGTAACAGTTACCTACAACACTGGCTAGTGGAATGCATATCGTAGAAGGCCGATTAACTGGTATATTCGCTGCCAAATCTGCATGGGTGCACGTCATCAAAGGCATATGTAAGCGTTAAGGTCTATTCATACGGGCACAGGCACAATCTAAGACTCATGTATTGTTGACTGTTTATAATTGAGGAGCATCCGTGCAAAACCTGCTATATCCACTTTAATAAAATGTTGGTAAAATGGCAAAACTCTCGGTTTCCTGGCCTTTACAGATAAAAGAAAAAGCAAACTTGAGTTTTGTGGGCTTTGTGGTACTTGATTTATAAGACATACTTTCGTTTTCAAAAACTTCATATTAAGGCCAAAATTTCAAAAAATGTTTTGTATATAGCCGGTTTTGCTCAAAAACCGAATAAAATGTGAAAAAAACCTTTATTATTCAAAAATATTAATAAAATAAATTTAGTGCAAACATGAAAAAACAGAACAAATTTTAGTAGTAGTATCGACATATCCAAGCCACATGCTTATCATCATTATTATTTATTGGATATAGCTGGGTTTGCTATAAAAACGTGGATTTGGCCGGTTTTGCTCCTAAAGCTACCTTTTAAATGTTATTTTAACATGGATATAGTCGGATTTAAACAGAATTATCTTGGTTGTCGATAGAAATGAACCCAAAGATGCGAAATCAGAAAAAAAACCAAAAACTGAATAAAATGGATTTAGCCGGTTTTGCACGGATGCTCCTCAATCATTGTTACAATATTCTACATTTACTAATTATTAATTTTGATTTAATGTGTCTAGAGAATCTAGTTCAGGGATGGCGAACCTATGGCACGCGTGCCATGAGTGGCACGTTTTAAATTTTTCTTGGCACGTTTTGAGAACAAAATTTGTTCATCTTAAGCTAATTTTTAAGTTTAATAATTTGCGTATTTTATTACAATTAAAACATAACTTATAACTAAACTCCGTAAAATTTAATGTCTATGTTAGCCTTGTTATCATAAGCGTCAAATTTTACAATTTTTAATAAATATCGCTAGAATTTTATCCACACGGAGAAAAAAATTTTGCTAACATAACTATCCAAAGTATTGTTAAATGCCGTATCGTGAAGTTAGTCATCTGTTTTATTAAGCTGAGGATTTGTATGGCTAAATTAGCTATACAGATCCTCAGTTTAATAAAACAGTTGACTAAATTCACGATACGTCATTTAACAATACTTTGGATAGTTATTTTGGCAAAATTTTTCTCTCCGTGTAGGTAACAACGATAAAACTTCTTTGTTTGTAAAGCTTTTAATTTATAATCTTGAATGTTTTATTACAAAGTTTAACGTAAGAATAAGCTAGATTTTGATACTACTAAAGACTTAAATATCTTGAACAATAATGGTTTTAAAAAGAACCATGAATTTTAAAACAAAATGGTTTATTTTTATAAAAAACAAAAATGTCATTTTCTTGAAATTTACAACATATAACCTTTTTAGTAATTTAATGCCCCAAATAAAATAATTCTATTTACAATTTTTATGAACCTCTATTTTTAGGTAGGTATGCATCTATGTTAGATTTTGATCTTTTATTTCTTCTAAATCGTACGGTACAGATATAATCTAATGGAAAAAAACGAGACTAAATTTATTTTTTAAAATATAACAATAAATAAAAAAATTCTAAATAATGATTTACTTTTTTTTATATTTTTATTTATGTTTTTGTATACTTTCATCTTCATAACAATTTACTTGTGGCACGTTACAATTAAAATTTTTTTTTTATAGTTTTTTGGCACGCACACTAAAAAAGGTTCGCCATCCCTGGTCTAGTTTATTAAATTTTTATTTTTATAAAACAAATTTAGAGTAAAATTACAACATGCAAAATTGAATTAGTTCCATGCCTCCAAGATTTCAAAATGTTATAGATAGGACTATTCGTTCTACCAAATATTAATTAATTAATTTTTTTATACAAAATTATAATATTAATATAAACTATTATAGTAACTTTCCAGCGGATGACGTCACTAGAGAGCAGAGCTGTTCCGAGTAAAATAACAAAGTACTCGAGTACTGAATACAAGTACTCAAGTACCAAGTACAAGTACAGTACCGTTGTACTCGAGTGGGTATACGAGTACAAAGTACCGAGTACACATTAGTTATAGAATGTTGGAAAAAATGCTAGGGAAATGGGGCGATTAAAAAACGAACTTAGATTCACTAGTACGAGAATTATAAACAATAAAAATGGCGTTTGTTTGTTGAGTGTGCAGTGGGTTGCCTAACTTCATGACTTTTCGCATGCGCGAACCAAAATATAGAAAACACCTTGTTTGTGGATTGAGGCTGTGGTGTGAGGCAACATGGCCGTAATTTGACAAGTATGAGCAGTGTTGCCGGACTTTAAATTTTCAACTCCCACGCCAACCTCACCGCATAAAAATTTAGTCATTGCATACAGGGGAAAGTACTGAGTATATTTTTGCACTCTAAAATGTATCAAGTACAAGCATAGGTACTATGCTCCACACCTCAAAGTCCCACCACGTGACTACGTACGGAACGCAGTCTTTTGAAAATTTGGCATTTAAGGCTTTTCAGGTTATGTATCTGTCAAAGTATAGTCAACGAAAGAAATAATATTATGTTTAGGCGTTAAAAATGTATAAATCTTTATAATATTGCAATGCCAATGGTTGGTTTAAGAATTTAGGAATATAAATACTGCATTTAATGAAATTCTAAAGTGTATGGTGCCAAATAAGTAATATTTGTGCATTTGGTCCAAATATCGGGTTTTCTCCATAAAATAATTTTAAATAAACAGCATTTATTAAAAAAAAAGCTTCTCTATTATGGAATAAGTATATCTTTATTAAAGGTAGGTTAATATATTATACAAAAAACATCATCTAATTTTGTAATTTTAAGGTTAGAAAAATTTATTTTTACCAAAATAATTAATTATTTTGGATTATTTGAAAGAAAGAAAATGTGGTAGTTTTTCTAATCCAGCTTAAAGTGTACCTAGATAAAGTTTTGTCAATACAAATAGTTATAAAGTTTCGACTGAATTTGATCTACATCGAAAAATCATTATAACTTTAAAAATTTTAATAAATCACATGTCATGGGAGTATTAAATATTTTCACATTGCAAGTTTCTCTAAAAATTGTTTGTTTTCTTATAATCTAACTTAAAGTAGGTATGCCGAGAGGTATGCACAAGTTTTGTCATTAGAAGTATAAAAGCTTCAATTTAATTTGAACCATATTCAACAATTATTTAGTATACCTATATTTATTTATGACCATATTAACACACTCTTCCAAATAATCCACTTATTTATTTTGGTCAAAATAGATTTTTCTAACCTTAAAATACAAAATTAGATGATATTTTTTGTTCTAATACATAAACCTACCTTTGATACAGATATTCTTATTCCATAATATAGAAGTTAGATTTTTTTTAATACATGCGTCGTAGAATTTAGAATTTTTTAGAATTTTATTAAATGCAGTATTTATATTCCTAAATTCTTAAACCAACTATTGTTATTGTAATACTATAAAGATTTATTAACTTTTAACGCTTAAACATAAGCGGTAACACTATAAATATTATTTCTTTCATTGATTATGCTTTGACAGATACATGCTGAAAAGCCTTAAATGCCAAATTTTTAAAAGACTGCGTTCCGTACGTGGTCACGTGGTGGGACTTTGAGGTGTGGAGCATAGTACATTCAAATTAAAGTACTTGGGACCGAATACCAGGTACACTGAAAGTACTTGGAGTACAGTGTTTGAGTACTTGTACTCGAGTACCGCACAGCTCTGCTAGAGAGTGCTGTTGTGTATTAAATAGCTATTTGTGCATTAAGAGCGTAAAGTGATACATTGCCGCTCTTTGCGAGATGTTTGGTAAAAATTAATAATTATTGATAACCTCAAATTTGACCTTTATGTCAAAAGTCGCAAATACACTAAGGGCCGGTTTTTCAATTAGGGTTTAAACCTTGCTTCAGGGGAACTTAGATCAGTTAATGAACTTAGTTCACAGGCAAATGAGTTTTTCAATGTCGACCCAACAGCAGTTCTGTTGAACTTAGATCAGCGGTGTCAGTATACGCCTACATTAATAGTAGTTAAAACTGTCATTTTGACAAAAGGGTTTTGTGTTTACTTTTGGAGTTTTGTTTCTCTGTGTTGTTTTAAAAAGTTCTAATCTGTGCGAAAGGGTGCTTTAAAACAATTTACTATTGTTAAAGAACAATAATTATTATTTATTATTGATAAAAATCGTGCTGCCAACTTTACCTCTTTTAAGGAGGAATTATTGGTATGTATTTCGTATTATAGTATAAAATGAATTAGTTGTTTTTTTGTTACTTGTGATGAATTTTACTAAAATCTATTACCTATTCAGTAATTATTTTTATAACTAACCTATTGGTCGGATTTGCAATAACTGGTTTAATTAAATCCACTATCCTACGTACAAAAGCTTTGGAAAACCGAAATCTGGCAAAAAATTCATCATTATTCCACCTTGTAAAATGATTCGGTCTTACCCATGGGATGTGCAAAGTTGAATATTAATTATGAATTCGCCAATTTCCTCATCATCTAACTACCTCAAACATATCCATTGGTTTATTATAACAGCAGATCACAAAACAAGAAATAAACAACGTAATACACAAAAAAGCAGAGAAAAATTAAGTTATGTCAAGTTGAACTTCGTTTAAACGGCCAACAGTGACGGTTCATCTTTTGATTTAGTTTAAACCAAATTCAAGCTTGAACTTTGATTGAAAAACGGCATATTTTGTTTGACACAAGTTCAAATGCTGAACCAAGTTTAAACTATGATTAAAAAACCGGCCCTAAACGTTTCTTTATTATGGTTTCCATGATAACTTAGCGAGCGACAAAGTAACTTTGTCGCTAGTAAAAAAACGCTCGTTCCTCGAAAAAGTGCAACTTGTAGAAAAATGTATTTATTAAAATTCAAAAATTAACATGGAACTATAAAACTTTGTGTAAGTATATTTTATATAAACACAACTAATTATTTAATTTAAAAAACCCATTATTTCTTCCTAAATTCTAATTTATTGTAAAGTTTATTTTAGGAGAAACCCCCTTTAACTCACCTGTGAAGATCGAAATCTTCCTGCGAATAGAAACAGACGCACCTTGCAGGACGGCCGTCCCTGCCGGCGCGGCCCACTTCCTGGTAGTACCCCTCGATGCTGCTGGACGTGCCATAATGCACTACATTGCGCACGTCCGGCTTGTCGATGCCCATGCCGTAGGCTATGGTTGCCACTATGCACTCGACGCGGTTCTTCAGAAAAGACATGTGCGTGGATTTGCGCAGGTCCAAGTCGAGGCCGGCGTGGTACGGCAGAGTGTTGGCACCGCGTTCTGCAACAACAAAATCTTATTAGGGAGCACCCAAGTACAGTTACGGAAAAAAGTAATGTCCATTTGAATGCTCCATTGTAATTGTTCGGAGGCATTCGGGTTTTGTTAATAAAATTAACATATTTATTTTTAAACTCAATAATTCTACCTACCTGCTATTGACCATTATTTCTACGCACATTTCATTTGACTTTTAAGCTTTTATGCAATAATTAAATATTTAAGGAATAACATTGATTCTGAAATAATTTAAATATAATATATGTTCTATAACTTATTGAATAAACTATATATTATTTAATAAGTTGTTATTAATAAAATAATATATTTAAATGAAATATAGACATTTAATACTAAAATAATTATAAACTTTTGCATAATTTTGCAAATACACCTTAAGATAGGATGGTGCGCCTGTAGGGCGGGGCTAATTTAGCGGGAACGACGTCACTCGTTGAGCTATTTTTAAATCGGCAAGGTGGATGTAACCATATACTTACCACACATATACCGCTTATTCCCTATATTTTGAATAGATGACCTTGCTCCAGTTTTTAAGGGGAGGCTGGCTACTCTCTACCTTTTGCGCACGTGCAGTTCAAAAGTGGGACACGGTAGGGCTTAAGTAATTTAAATGCAAGTTGAAAGCAACTCTAAATTTTCTTGCGAAGTATGTTTTATTGTATTATGTATTATTAGAAGTCAAAATATCGGAAAATCAAAATCGCAAATCAGCCCGTTTCTTTTTTTTTAACCAAATTACGATTAAAAAAAAAAAATGACATTTAAATGTAAATAAAAAACACACACACCATAAGTATGTTTTTTGGACTGCAATATGTTAATATGCACATACATATACATATATACACAGTATGTGTGCTTAAATATATGTCATATTCATAAAAGCTTACTGTGATTAACGATTACTTCATTTTACTTTTGACGTGTTTGTTGAATAAAATATTAATAGAAAGCAAGTGACAGTTGCAGATGAAAATTGCATTTCGGTTTTGGCTAAAGGTAAGAGACATTCTTGTTCTGCAGCAACTACAGCATATAATAATATTAAAGGAAGTGTCGAAAACACTTTATCAGAATCCTTTCAACAACATTTAGTGTGTGAACTAATTTAAAAAAATGTCAACTCTAATTGTAATGGTGAACCTGAGTGCCCTAATACCCTTTCATTGTCTCAAAAACGTGGTAAACCATTATGTGTTGCTGTACGTCCAGAAAATAAAAAAGAAATAAAACAGATTTCTGCTGCTGCAGTGTCCAATATTCAAACTAATTGTGGTATTAGCACAAATAAGGTCCTTGAAGTCGCTAAAGCTTTCCGTATTGCGGCTGAGGATAGAAATCTTTTTGAGCCTAATTTAAAACGAAAATGAAAATTTTATTAAAACAGTTAAGGATGTAAGCAACGCAGAAACGAAAGAATTGGTAATATGTAAAAATTTTGAGAATTTCTTAAATTATGTATTAGAGTTACGCAAAGTCACTCTCGTACACATCAAACTTGGTCTTGACGGAGGTGGCGGATTTTTGAAACTATGTGTTTCTTTGCAACTATTCAATAATTAGACTGTGGACGAATCATATTATGAAGGCACAAAGGCAAAATCTCGACGTCAAAATTTCAAAGATGGAATCGTAGCAAAAAAATTCAAAGAAACCGGCGTTAAGAAATTATTTATTTTGGGCATAGTCAGCGATACTTAAGAAAATTAAACATTAATACATTTTGTAACAAAATTAATTTTTCCTGTAATAAGTTTCGGTATACTATAGCAAGTGATTTAAAATTGATTAACATTCTCTTAGGTTTGATGCCGCACTCTTCTTCATATCCATGTAGTTGGTGTGAGGTTTCAAAAGTTAAATTATGCGAATGCGGCATATATAGAACTTTTGGAAGTATTATAAAAAATAATAGAGAATGGGAAGCCAGTGGACGCGATAAGAAAAATTCTAAAGAGTTGAAATGTTGCGTTAACATGCCAATAATCAAAGAAAACCCTGATACATTAATCATCGATGTATTTCCACCGCCAGAATTGCACCTTGTGCTAGGGGTGGTTAACACAATTTTCGAAAAAATGGAAGCTTTATACATAAATGATGCTCTAAAATGGGCAGTAGAATGCGGTTTAACGGAGGACGAGGTTTTGACGGAAATGGATGCGCCAAGTTGTTGAAAGAAACTCAAATAGCTATAATATTGGCTGTTTACCATTCGCAAATTGTTTATCTAAATTTGGAAAGGTAGTTGATTCCTGTTTTGGTGAAACGTTAAAACCACATTATAAGAAAAATATTACTGATTTTCGAATTAGTTATTTAAGTTTAAATATCAATATAACCCCAAAGGTTCATGCTGTATTCCGGCAATAGTATTTTTGTCATAAAAATAATAAAGCATTGGGATATTATAGTGAGCAGGCGATGGAGTCGGTACACGCAGATTTCAAAGTGACTTGGAATAAATACAAAGTTAAAAAAAATCATCCAGATTTCGGTGAGAGATTATTAAGAGCTACCTGTGAATATGACAGTCAACATGTTTGATTATTTATAATTTAATGATTTATTTTGATGTTTTTAATTGTATTACTTATACTGATGGTTTGGTCGTTTGTTATTTTTGTTAGCAAAAATAAACTGTTTTATGTTGAAAATAGATATTTTTATTGATTTTATATTATACACACATTTATTTATTTTTTAATCATTTTGTATATATGTAGATATTACATTTAAATGTCATTAAAAAAAATCGTAATTTGGTTATTACATTTTAATGTCATTTAAAAAAATCGTAATTTGGTTAAAAAAAAAAGAAACGGGCTGATTTGCGATTTTAATTTTCCGATATTTTGACTTCTAATAACACAATAAAACATACTCCGCAAAAAATTTTTGAGTTGCTTTCAATTTGCATTTAAATTACTTAAGCCCTACCGTGGGGAGATTAAAAAATCAATAATGTTTGTTGGTTATGAATAAATACAAATGTCATTTTAAGAATTTAGGTTATACTAAAAAAATATTAGAAAACTAGTTTTAAAATGCGAAATGTTTTGCTGTAAAAGTTATTATATTTTTGGTCCAGAATTGGGAATGAAATAATTGTATGGAATTTTAAATTGTATTGGTAATAATTCTTTAAGTGCCCATGAGATTAATAATACTGAGGGTGTGGATGCTGCTTCACAGAACATAAGCTGCTTGAATTAATTCAAATAGTTATATTCGATTCAAATTTCAAATCGAATATTTAAACTATTAGAATAATTTAAAAAAAAAAATTGACACAAAACATAGCTTATTTTGAGTAGAAAATGCTTACAAAAGCTGTTTTTTGTACGATAAACGGTTCCGGAGATATTCGAAAAAAACGATTTTTTTTCTAAAATTTCAACACCCTGTATCTCGAAAATTGTGCATTTTAGAGGGTAAGTTAATAGCGACTTTTTTCATCTTTTTGGATGAGCTATCACATCCTGAAGTACTGCGCATATATTATGAAACACCCTGTATGTGATTTGTTGATAAATAGCATCCACTAATAAAAATATCAGTAAAATACTTTCGCTAACAAAAAAAACTCATACAGCTATATTGTGGCTGTGTGAATAAAACTTTTCCGTCAATGTCAAGCTGACATCGAGCTTTGTTACATCCATTATGACTTTTTTAACAACATTTTCAACCAAACAATGCAGACGAACTCTGGCAAGCCATTGAAGCCATTTGGAACGAGATAAAGCAAGACGGCGACTTCCATGCTTTGCCGTTTGCGGGCAGTAATTGACAAAAACAGAGGGATGACGAAATATATTTTTTTTCAAACTTCAACCTAACTTTGTATTTAATTTTAGACCTTTCAAATGTGACGTATCGTGTTAAAAGCCATAATTACTCCAACGAAATGATAGAAAATCAGGAACACTAGATTTTTAAGCTGTATGAGTTTTTTTTGTTAGCGATAGTACTTAATTCCGAATTATAATCTCAAATTTGTATCCCATTCATCAGTACCGTGTCGTCAGTTCCATGTTCGATGTTTCGGTTATCTTAACTTCAATTTAAATGCCGCTTGCGCAGAACTTGTTTATTTAATGTCATTATAAACTCATATAAATTTTTTGTGGGTCCCATATCTAATAATTGAGATATCGGTATACCCAAAATCCACCAGCCGCCACTGATTTTAAGATATTTAATGTATAATATGATCAAAGTTGGAATAAATCTTATATTTTCCAATAAATTATATATTTAATTAGTACCCTGGTATACTTGTCACTTCCCTTGCATTCAAATTAATAGAAAACACAGATATTTCAGAAACTGTTTGAAAAAGTGACTGGCCCGGTCTGGAACAGTATATTTATTATATTATCTATGTTCTCATAACAAAATACTGTTTAATTTTCTCCGAAAACTATATAAATAAAATGAGGTGAAAAGTTGCCCAACTTTTGTAAAATCACCCATGTATTAAAGAAAGAACAAAATGCTAATTTATATTTTATCATTGTGTACAGTGTTTAATAGTTATTTATGTATTAAGGGCATAATAAGGTTTTTATGGTCCGAGGCGCTATTTCGTAGCGTCGTAGGACCATAAAAACCAGTTATGCCAGCAATGCATACAAAACTTTATGCACGATTAATATATTATTATTTTTAATATATTATTGTTTTTAAAGACGTTTACGTCAAAGAATTTTTGTTATAATTGTCATATTATAATGTCAACTGACATCAGTCAGTTTTAAAGTTTAAAGATGAATGAAATTGAGGAAGCAGCTGAAAAGGCGAAAAATTGCGGCCTGATGCCGGAAAAATCAAAATCTTTATACGAAAAAACTTACTTCGAATATATCAAATGGTGTAACATTGTTGTTTTTAATTTTTGACGTTTCATTATAGCCCCAATACAAAACTTTATGCACGATTAATATATTATTATTTTTAATATATTATTGTTTTTAAAGACGTTTACGTCAAAGAATTTTTGTTATAATTGTCATTTTATAATGCCAACTGACATCAGTCAGTTTTAAAGTTTAAAGATGAATGAAATTGAGGAAGCAGCTGAAAAGGCGAAAAATTGCGGCCTGCTGCCGGAAAAATTAAAATCTTTATACGAAAAAACTTACTTCGAATATATCAAATGGTGTAACATTGTTGTTTTTAATTTTTGACGTTTCATTATAGCCCGCTGGGTCATAATAACGCCCACGGGCTATAAAAAGACGTTTACGTCAAAGAATTTTTGTTATAATTGTCATATTATAATGTCATCGTGCATAAACGTAAATTACATTCTTCTGTCCTTATTTGCAGAAAACTTGTCAATAACAGCCTCATTACTTAGTAATCAACCGTTTAAGTGTTTTTAATAATTGTTGAAATATTAAACTTAAAAAAACTTACTGTTTAATTTATAGGAAATATCCTCAGCTTCCTTTTTTTTGAGACAATAAATAATTGTAGGTCCCAGAAATGTCCATTTATTATCTTTATATTCCATTACATGGGTATTGAAATCGTCACATACGTTCATGAAGGATTTCTTGAACACAGCAAAGTACAAATTGGGTCGGTTAAAGCCCGAACAGGTTAATAAAGGGGTTCTAAAAATAAAACAGTGTTGTAATAACTTAAAGGAAATATCAAAACAAGTAATTTAAAATCAACTTTATACAGGCAATGCATAGAAAAATACTTGTTGCACCAGGTATAAAGGGAATTTAATATAAACCCATTTACCGTTTTAATCACGGATCTTTGGAAAACCCCGGTGTAGCTACAGGCATGTATTAAATTAAATATTTAATATTAATACTATTAATATTAAATATTTAGTGACCCTAATTAAATTTGTATTTTTTTTAATAAATTATTAATATTTGATGAATTATAATACACTCACAGGCAAAATAATCGATCCACACAAATTTTCGATGAATTTCAATCGCAAATAACTTTTTTATTTGATTTCGGATTAAAACAAATATTAAAGAATATTGTAGATACATTAATGGAGAATCGCTCACATTTTAAAAATTACTAAAAAATACACGTACGTTTATAATATACAGATTTAAACAAAAAGATGTTTTTTACCATAAGTTTAAGACACTCTGTAGAGTGGCTAAACCGTATATTGTTCTAAATAAGTTTTAATTATCAAGTCATCTATTTTTAACAGTTTTGTTTTTGGTTCACCTTGATATATTTATTTTTGTAGAAAATATGGATTAAAAAAAATTGCAATTTCCAATATTTTCCTGTATGAAGAACTAAGGTTGCTATGGTCCATCCATAAGCTATGGAGGATGACAGTGACAGTTTTGTTGAATATACTGTCCATACTTGGACATGTCATATACAGATTTCAAAAGGTATCAAATTGTTTTTTGTAAATTAATGTGTTAATTTTGAGGTGTCTTCTTACTTTTAAAAATGTCTCCGGCTGATGTTGCCCTTTGTACTTTACTTCTTGTGACGTTTAAAACACTTGCCACGTAACACTGTGACCGTCCATCCTTGATTAAATTAATGGCTCTGGCAACATCAGTCGGAAACATATCCATTTTTTAAAGTAAGAAGACACCTAAAAATTTAAACATTAATTTGCAAAAAACAATTTGATAGCTTTTGAAAGCCGTGTATGACATGTCCAAGTATGGGATGATTCAACAAAACTGTCACTGTCATCCTCCATAGGCTATGGGTGGACCATACCAACCTTAGTTCTTCATACAGAAAAATACTTATTGGAAATTGCAATGTTTTTTTTTAAATTAGAAAAATATTGGAAATTGCAATGTTTTTTTTTTAAATCCATATTTTCCACAAAAATAAATATATCGAGGTGAACCAAAAACAAAACTGTTAAAAATAGATGTGACTTGATAATTAAAACTTAATTTAGAACAATATACGGTTTTGCCACTCTACAGAGTGTCTTAAATTTATGGTAAAAAACATATTTTCGTTTAAACCTATATTATAAACGTAAGTCCATTTTTTAGTAATTTTTTTAAATGTGAGCGATTGTCCATTAATGTATCTACAATATTCTTTAATATTCGTTTAAATCCGACATCAAATAAAAAAGTTATTTGCGATTGAAATTCATCGAAAATTTGTGTGGATCGATTATTTTGCCTGTGAGTGTAATTAATAAATAAATATGTTTATTAGGGTGCTTTAAAAAATAAAATGTAATTTTTTTTTCGCTCTTAGCCTCTCAAATCTTTCTATTTAATATAAAAAAATCCTCACCAAATATGGGCGTCTCAGCTCAACTCTAAGAGGTCGCTGTTTTTAATTTAGTTTCCCATTTAATTGGGGGGAGGGAAATGGGGTACCCAAAAAATGAGCATATGAAAGTTTTCCAAAATTGTACCATCCTTTTTCTCGCTCTACAGGCTCAGAATAATTATTTTCGATTAAAAGCCTGAAGTTGTGAGTCAATTTTCAAATAATTTAAAAACCGAAAAAAACAATCTAAAAAAAAAATTTTACGAAATTTTTTGGGTACCCCCATTTTGCGCCCCCCCCCCCGCTGCATTGTTTTGCCCCCTTTCACCTCCCGTCTGCTAATTGTACCATAAAATTAAAAAACCCGAAAATTTGATGTTAATCAAACTTTGACCTCGAATAACTCTAGAAGAAATCAATTTATCGAAAAATAATAAGAGAGCTTTTTTGTAGAGCGTTACCTTTTATATAAGAAACAGCAATGATCATTGCCATAAGTTACTTTGATACAGAGGTATAAAATTCCAAAGATAAAATTATTTTTCCCATGTTAATTAAATGGGAAACTAAAATAAAAACAGCGACCTCTTGGAGTTGAGCTGGAACGCCCATATTTGGTGAGGATTTATTTATATTAAATAGAAATATTTGAGAGAGTAAAAAAATTAAATTTTATTTTTTGGAGCACCAATATGTTTATAAAAAAATCCCTTTATCATAAAATTTTGCTTACATTAATTTTAAGGAATTGATGATGTCGTCCCGGACTTTGGTGGTTGCGGTAGCAGTTACCGCCAATATCGGCACTTCGGGTAACATTTCTTTTATAACTTGCAACTTCCGGTACGTAAACCGAAAGTCGTGGCCCCAAAAACTGACGCAGTGTGCTTCGTCGACGGCCACCAGAACAATCTGAGCAATTTTACAAAAATAAATTGTAATTAAAATAGTATATTAAGCACGAGCGAAGCTAGCAAGCGAGTGTTTAATAAATACAAGTGTCTAGATAAGTTTATAAAACGAGTTGCATACTATACTTTATCTACAATGACCACAAAGGAGAATTTAAATACAATTTTATTTGTTAAACATTTGACATCTGTCAAATGTCAACGGAATTAACCTCACTTTTCTCTAATTTATGATAGCTTTTGAAAGCCGTGTATGACATGTCCAATTATGAGATGATTCAACAAAACTGTCACTGTCATTCTCCATAGGCTGTGGATGGACCACAGCAACCTTAGTTCTTCATACAGGAAAAATATTGGAAATTGCAATGTTTTTTTAAAAAATCCATATTTTCCACAAAAATAAATATATCGAGGTGAACCAAAAACAAAACTGTTAAGAATAGATGTGACTTAATAAATAAAACTTAATTTAGAACAATATACGGTTTTGCCACTCTACGGAGTGTCTTAAACTTTTGTTAAAAAACATATTTTTGTTTAAACCTGTATATTATAAACGTACGTCCATTTTTTAGTATTTTTTTAAAATGTGAGCGATTGTCCATTAATTTATCTACAATATTCTTTAACATTTGTTTAAATCCGACATCAAATAAAAAAGTTATTTGCGATTGAAATTCATCGAAAATTTGTGTGGATCGATTATTTTGCACGTGAGTGTATATTAGGGTGTGCCAAAAAAACTCGATATTTTTTTTTTTCATGCTCTCCACCCAAAATATCGTAGAATATGTCCGAACAAATATTCTGTTAAAAGCTGAGCTCATAATTTCAATTTTAAGAGGTCCCTCATCGAATCTGAAGTTTTGCCGCTTAAATAACACAGAAAACTGACTTTTTTACCTTATTTATTCTTGCAACCTAGGAAGATTTTTTTTTTCGTAAAATCCATGACTAATTCTTACAAAGCATTAAATTTGGACAAAAAAATCTTATTAAGCCGAATTTCTATTTTCATTATTTAATTTTTTACATAGCTTTAAATTTAAAGATAATAATACAAAAATGATGACTTTATACGCCTGTAACTTTTAGAATATTGACGATATAAAAAATTCGCCTAAAACTTTTTTGTGGTCCATCAGACAAGCTAAAAAATTACCATTTGACTTTTTCGTCTAACTTCAATAGTTTAGCTGAAAAAGGCAAAAAACGTAAAATTTTAAATTTAAAGCTCTGTAAAAAATTAAATAATGAAAATAGAAATTTGGCTTAATAAGATTTTTTCGTCCAAGTTTAATGCTTTGTAAGATTTGGTCATGGATTTTATGAAAAAAAAATTTCTTCCTAGGTTGCAAGAATAAATAAGGTAAAAAGGTCAGTTTTCTGTGCTATTTAAGCGGCAAAACTTCAGATTCGATGAGGGACCTCTTAAAATTGAAATTATGAGCTCCGCTTTTAACAGAATATTTGTTCGGACATATTCTACGATATTTTGGGTGGAGAGAAAGAAAAAAACTATTTCGAGTTTTTTTGGCACACCCTAGTGTATATACAGGGTGTTATGTAATAATAATAATAATAATTTATTGTCATCAAACAAGTACATGACATGTCAAAAATATAGTACACAAATGAGTACATTAGATGCAAAACTCGGTTTTTGCACATTTTTAAAAAATATATATTTTATCTTATTTATGTTCATAACTGGACTGCCCACAGCATACCTAAGTAAACCAGATGCATAAGTTAATATTTGTAGAATAAAATACATTTATGCACGATGACATTATAATATGACAATTATAACAAAAATTCTTTGACGTAAACGTCTTTTTATAGCCCGCGGGCGTTATTATGGCCCAGCGGGCTATAATGAAGCGTCAAAAATTAAAAACAACAATGTTACACCATTTGATATATTCTAAGTAAGTTTTTTCGTATAAAGATTTTGATTTTACCGGCAGCAGGCCGCAATTTTTCGCCTTTTCAGCTGCTTCCTCAATTTCATTTATCTTTAAACTTTAAAACTGACTGATGTCAGTTGACATTATAATATGACAATTATAACAAAAATTCTTTGACGTAAACGTCTTTAAAAACAATAATATATTAAAAATAATAATAAATTAATCGTGCATAAAGTTTTGTATGCATTGCTGGCATAACTGGTTTTTTATGGTCCTACGACGCTTTTCTAGCCCTCGCGCTAACGCGCTCGGGCTCGAAATAGCGCCTCGGACCATAAAAACCTTATTATGCCCTTAATACATAAATAACTATTATAAACTTACCGCAGCTGCAAAACTGGGTATTTGTTTCTTCCTGTCGGATGCAAAACTCGGTATTTGACCAATCACCAATCACGTCGCTAGTATACGCATTAACTGACGGCATAACAATCACCTGATTAATTGTTATTTTTTTGGTATTTGCACTTTTCACTTGCAAAACTTGGTCTTTGAACGAGGAAGATGCAAAACTATGTTTTTAAATCTTTTGATTTCAATTATTTACTAAACTACTTAATTTTAAAGGACTTTTTTTTACTTTTTTGAATAAGAAATGATGCAAAAGCAGGTCTATACGATTTTTGTATTTTTTTTTTCAAATATGACCTTATGAGCGGTTTTTCGTGTTTTTCTTAAAATCACTTATCCTGCAAATACAGAGTTGTGCATCTAATGTACTCAAATATAGAATTACAAATAAATAAAGAGATAGGTACAGATACTTATAGAGATAAATACAATTTTAAAATAATATATTACAATAATTGGTTAAAATATGTAGATCACAGAAATTTAGATATATATTAAATACTACTTTCTAGGATGTCCCAGTCTAGGAACTCTTCATAGCTATAAAAAGCTTTGGCGACTAGTATACTCTTGACTTGTTTTTTGAAACATTTGAAAGGCAATTTCTTGATTTTATTTGGTAGTTTGTTAAAAAATTTGACTCCCCAATAATCAACATATTTTTGTGTTTTGTTTAATCTATGAAATGGTATTATTAGATCTTCCTTAAACCTCGTATCTTTTCCATGTCTCGTACTGCCTTTTGTGAACTGGTTTAGGTTTTCATGTACATAATGTAAACATTGTTGAATATAGGTGGATTTAATAGTGAGTATACCTTCTTTTATAAAATATTCTTTGCAGCTTTCAGTTTGTTTTAGGCTACATAGTGCTCTTAATGCCTTTTTTTGTTGAAGGAATATGTCATTTGCCATTGTAGTTCCTCCCCAAACTAAAATTCCGTAGGTAGCCACTGAATGGAAATAAGAAAAATATACCATTTTTGCAATTTCGAAGGTGGTTATTTTCTTCATTCTTATATGCAGTATATTGAGGTCGAAAGTTTCTTTATGGATTCCGATACATTAAAGTCCCACGATAAATTGGTTTCTATGTGAATACCAAGAAATTTGGCTTTTTGATTGCTTTGGTTGGTACCAAAAGTTATTATTTGAGTTTTTTCCTCGTTGATTTTGAGTTTATTTGCATAAAACCACTGTTTTGATTGTTCAAGAACCATGTTCATTTTCTCATCTGCTTCTTGTTTTATCGTACCCTTAACCAGGAAGGAAGTATCATCAGCATAGCAGCAAATTTCATATGTATCCACATTCCAGGCCAGGTCATTTAAATAAATTATGAACAAGATGGGCCCAAGGATTGAGCCTTGAGGCACGCCGCTTTTAACTTCCAGTTCTGAAGAATACTGCTCGTTCCAATGGACTATTTGTGTTCTTTTTTCAAGATAAGATTTTAGCAGTTTATTAGGTGTTCCTCTTAATCCATAAAACCATAGTTTTTCCAGTAAAATTTTATGTGATATGGTGTCGAATGCTTTGGTTAGATCGCATAGTATCATATGTGTAACTTCCTTTTTGTCGATGGCTTCGATAATTTTTTTGTGCACATGTGAAATTGCAGCTGCAGTTGATCTATTTTTTCGATATCCATATTGCATATTTTGAAGGTATTCGTTTTTTTCAAAGTACTGTAATATTCGGTTTTTTAAAATATGCTCAAAAATTTTTTAAACTGCTGGCAGTATGGAAATGGGTCTGTAGTTTTGGCAATTTTGTTTGTCTCCTTTTTTGTGTATGGCTATTACTTTTCCTTTTTTGAGTTCTTGTGGAAAGGTACCTTCTGCGAAACATTTATTAATAATAATTGTTAGCGGGAGTGTGATGTTTTCGTTTACTCCTTTTATTAATTTAGTGGTTAGTCCATATATATCCTGAGTTGTTTTGTTTTTTATTTGTTCAATTGTTTTTGTGACTTCTTCAATGTTTGTTTCAAAAAGAACAAATGATCTAGTATTAGTAATGTTTGTTTTAATGTAATGTAAAGCATCTTTAAAATTATCTTTTGTATGTTCAAATATCTTGTATGCACTGTTTATGAAATGTATGCTAAGATCTTCTGCACCATGGTGATAAGTTATTATTTTCGTTGACATTACTTTTTGTTGAGTTTTTTTCTTCCTTAATTAATTTCCAGATGCATTTCTGTTTATTATTGGAATTTGTTATAATATCACTGTTTTTCTGTTTTTTGGTTTCCTCTATTTTTTGTACATAGTGTTTTTTTAGAGCGTTGTAGGCGGATTTGGACTTACTATCTTTTCTTACAATATTGATTATGTTTAGTGCCTCTAATTGATTTTCTATTTGTTTTAATTCATTTGTTTTCCATGTTTTATTTTTATTTTTTGGATAAAGTTTTTTTTCTGTTTCAGGGAAACTTTCTTCATAGGCCATTAATAGTATTTTTTGGAATAGGGTATATGCTTCTGTTCCACTTAGTGAATTTAGGCTTTCCAACCAGTTTACAGTTTGTAATAAGCTTTTAAATTTTAGTAAATTTTCTTCTGTAAAATATCTTTTCATTATCGTGCTAGATTTATTTTTTAGATGCCCGCTTTCTACAAATTTTATAGTTATTAACTGTCCTAAGTGATCTGAAATGTGTAAATTTACTG